TTGTCTGTTGCAGAGCACCAGCTCTAGGTGCGTGGGCTTCAGTAGTTGTGGCACTCAGGCTCAGTAGTTGTGGCTCACGGGCTCTAGAGTGCAGGCTCAGAAGATGTGGTGCACAGGCTTAGTTGCTCCGTGGCATGTTGGATCTCCCCGGACCAGGGCTCGAACCCATGTCCCCTTCATTGGCAGGTGGATTCTTAACCACTGACCATGAGGGAAATCCCGACTTTAATTTTTAAAATTATATTAGTCTATATTTTTAATGGTGGACTAAGCTACTACGTGAAAGACATTCACTGGAAAACTCCATCCAATGATTTACCATGATATTTCCAATCCTTACCCCAATTCAACACTCAGACTCCCTATTAGATGAAAGAACAGCAAGATTGTCAAAGGGAACACAGAACGTGATGATAAGAAAACAATGAAATTCAGAGAATACAATGCGAACGAGAAGAAAAGGCAAGTAATCATCAACAAGCTGTTTTCATTAGGTACTATAGATCCACACTGAATATTTTCTGCCTTTTTCTCCTTTCCTTCCATTTGGTCTGTTGATAGGTTTACTTCTGACAGGATCTAGTCAGGAAGACAGAAACCACACTAAGTATTTCAAAAGAAATAACGTTGAAAATTTGGTGAACAGTTGTTGGAGAACCAAAAGAGCTAGGAGAGAATGTGGTGCCCAGAGATAAAAATAACTGCAGGAAGCACTATGCCCCAAGGCTGGAGGATCAAAGGGAGGGGGCAGGGTTCTCAGAGTCTAGAAGCCTAGAGAGGCCTCACAGAGCTGGAGTTCAACCACTGCCAGTGCTTCTGAGCGCACATTGAGGCCGGTTCTCAAAGTGACAGGAGAAAAAAGCTGGAGCCTGGAACCAAGAGCCACTGTCAGGTCAAGAGCCACTGCTGCGGTGGGGCTGCCCGAAACGGGAAGGAACTTGAAACAGCAAGCCCCTCTCCTCCTTCAGCCCTGCAGCCTCCCTGTCCAGCTCCCCAGAGAGGCAAAGCCTAACAGCAGAGTCCTGGTGGCATAAAGCAGCATAGGTGAGGGTTGGTGTGGGGCTGAAAGACAAAAGCTGGACCATGCACGCACTACACATTTAGAAAGAGCAATTCATCCCATGTTTAGGTCTCTGTCGCTCATCTTAACTCACAACAAACTAATTAGCCGCAAAATACTGCATATTGGGCAAAAGAAGTGACAGAGTAATCCAACGTCAGGCTGAGTTCAACCAGAGCCATGCTTCACCAGCACCTTTCCTTGTACCTTAGAGGAGCACTCTAAGGGATTGCTGTTAGCGGCCTAACTGTTCTTACCTATGAAAAATGGGCTCCTTCGAAGCCATGTGCGGGCCTGCTTAAAACAATAAGCTTTTCGAACCCCCAAGTGCGACATACTCCGGGAGCGTGGTCTGGATGCTTATCAAACAAGTTCCTGGGCCATTCTCTGAAGTTTCTGGGCAAGTACAAACAAAAGAGTCAAATAAAATGCCTTTTAAAAGCAAGGCAGTGGAGCACGTACCCTGTCAGTGAGATCCTCATATCCCCACAGAGTAAACAGTAACATGAGAATATTTATACTAAACAAAACTGTATATCAAGCCTGCTTTGGCTCAGCCAGAGGGAATGATAAATTCCTTGCAGATCTCTCATAGAGTGGTCCTTTGTGGTCCATGGACGCCACTTCCAAGACGGTACAAACCAATTACAGAGCAAGGCTTTTCATTATGTTGAGGAATGAAAATATCACCCCCCATTTTGTTTTATTTTACAGTTATATTTTACTTAGCCCTCCCCCTTATGTTAAAGATATTTTAACTTGTGGAGTCAAGCCCAAGTTCAGGTTGGAAGCAAATGACAGCCCCTCCCCACCAACAACAAAAGCCCTTATCACCTCACAGCCTAGCTTTTTGCTTTCCTTGTCCCCCTTCTAAGAAACTAAAACTTGAATTTAAAGTGGGGTAGAGTAAAAAACACTAAAGAGTTAATAAAATGTAAACTCTATTTGTCCACATCGATTTTGTCCCATTTACAATTGGCACAAGTCATGGGCAAAGTCATCTGGCAGGAGATGGAGGTTAAACAAGCTATGAGGCCACATTCCATACAATGTCCACTTTGAGGTCCAATGGAAAAAATACTGCAGAAACATTTGCACAAAGTGTTGGTCTGTTTCTAAGAGAGTAATATGAGAAAAGGTTAATATGAATCAGGGTATTTGTTAGTTTGGTCAGATTTTTCTCAACCCAATTTGATAATCCTTCTTATTGTTATAGATCCATCCTGGCTACTTCTGCAAGCTCATACATAGAGCTGATGATGCCACATCCGTCCAAAGGATAAACCTTCAGCAACTTACAGCTGTTTCAGATTTTCTAAAGAACGATGGTGGAGCAAGGGAGAAGGGGAAGAGAGAAAGACAATAGAAAAAAACAGCGAAATTAGAATATGAACAAGTGGTAAGAAGTGAGGTTGCGCTGGTTTTGAAAATTGTTTATAACAAAAATAGTAAATTATTGTCTTAAATAGACAGCTGGGCTTCCCTGGTGGCGCAGTGGTTGAGAGTCCACCTGCCGATGCAGGGGACACGGGTTCGTGCCCCGGTCTGGGAAGATCCCACATGCCGCGGAGCGGCTGGGCCCGTGGAGCCATGGCCGCTGAGCCTGCGCGTCCGGAGCCTGTGCTCCGCAACGGGAGAGGCCACAACAGTGAGAGGCCCGCGTACCGCAAAACAAAGCAAAACAAAACAAAAAAAAAGACAGCTGGATCAAATGCCAAATTTAATCAACTCCATTTTAAACCATTAACTAAGCCTCACATGTAGTGCCCAAGTCCATCATAATAGATTAAAAAGGGAAAAACAGATTTTATATGTTTGTACACTTTAACGGATATTAGAAATTTGACAAAATTTTATTTAGAAAGTGTGGGCTTAGTGAAATTTTCTTATTCACATGTTTGTTTTTTGTGTTTTTTAAATTTTTATGAAATTAATATATAATTTTTAATAATTGTGGTAAAATATACATAAAATTTACCATTTTAACCATTTTTAAGTGTGTAGTTCAGTGGCATTAAGTATTCATATTATTGTACAACCATCACCACTATCCATCTCCAGAATTATTTTTTCATCTTCAAAAACTGAAACTCCGTACACCCATTAAATAGATGTTTGGTTATAAATAGGCCTTGCTCAAAACTGGCAGTCTAGAATGCAGTGATACGAATCTGGAGAGGTTAATCCAGGCAAGTGGCAAATGAATCAACTCCTACTACAACCCCAAATGACTCAGTGACAACCTGGGCTTTTACCCTCTCTCATGTGTTTAATATTGATGACCAAAACTGAAGCAAAGTTCTAGAAGAGATCTGGAAAAAGTGTTAATATATTTCATTTTTACATTACAGCTTACAAAGTACTTCCATTTATCCCCTAGAACACAATCTGAGTGGGAACTCTTTTCCCTGTTTTATAGGCAATGAAACTATGCCTACGGGGAAGGTAAGAGCAAGGACCAGAACCCAAGCCAGAATCCACTGTCCATCGCTTATCCTACTAGGCCACATGGCCTCTGCCAAAGCAAGAGAAAACAGAGGCATGGCTACTTCTCAGCTCTCCCAGACTCACTGGGTCTAACTGGAGAGCATTTGCTCTCTTCATCACAGCAACTAAACTTCCTTACGCCTGAAAACCACACCTGGTTCATCATTTCTCCATCTTTGTTGTATTTATATTAAACAGCAAAAGGAAAACACCCCCAAAAAAGCACAATTCTGTAACACAATTAATGCAATCACAGTCAAGAGTCAAATGTAAGTCAAAAAAATATACTAGGATAGATTACTGGATCCTATAAAACGACTGAGTTCAACCTCTTTTTTATTTTTAATTACTTAAAATAAACTCACATTATGTGCTCTTATTAGACAAGACCATAATCTTTCTTGCTAAACAAAACCTATGGAAAAATTCATTTCTTTGTGCTTTACGAACAGAAAGCATCTTGTACCAAAGAATGATAAGCACTAAGGATTTACATAAAATTGCCAGAATCAGCAAGTGGTGGCTTCTTTTAGTTCACAGAGAGGCAACCTATTTTGATTTCTTTCAAATAACATTTTTCCACCAAAACCCTTCTCTTTGCTCAAGAGCAATAAATTCCCTAAACCTGCAGACTTCCCATTTAAATTCCAAAAAGGATAAATACAATCCCTTGAAGTCATGCCCAACACCATCATTCCACTTCTCCACATAAACATAAAAAAATTAGACAAATCTGGCTCCAGAATGAACAGTGGGTCATCCCAAACAAGGCAGGAAAGAACAATCATGCTTCGACAGAGTAATTTTATTTTATAATTCTCCCCATTTTTTAGTTACTTAGTACTTGATTTTTAAAAGTGCACATTAAAAAAATGATTACTTAAAAAATGAGAGTTGAATACAGGACTCTGGAATAAAGAGGTCAGGAAAACCAAATAAATTGAGTCCGCTTTTAGTTTTGTTCATGATAATTAAAGACGATTTGGCAACGATGGCCATTTTACCCAGCTGATTCAGGAGGGCTTCTAGTACATGCAAGTGCATGAACTTGATACAGAGGAGGATTTCACGAAGTTTTAATGATGACTAGAAATATCATAAGGCGATTATGGACAATCTATCAACACCTGTTGTTGTCACTGGACAGAAAATGCTTCCAGTTTTCCAATTCACAGCTGGAACCAAGCTCTTGGATCTTCCACTCGTCTTCACTGGCCAAAAGAAAACTTTGTAATGGCTGATATTTTTTCTTTACAATTTCAATGAAGGCTTAGATTGGATCACATGAAAATGCCTCTGCGTATCTTCCAGAACTCCCCAATACCTTCCTTAATAGCATATTCAGCACAGTTCTTGCACTCTTGGGGTGTAAATCCAATTAATGCTCTTCCTTTAATGCCAATTCCCTGATCACTTGCCAATTTTTTAACTTGAGCTTCTATGTAATGAGGAGATACATAATAAAAATGGTCCCCAAGGACACTGTAAGCCATGTATTGAGAGCCTTCTGAGGTTTCTGTAACTTCTTGATCTTCAAAACTTTCTACATTGCAAGCTATCTCAATTTTCCCTTCGTGAGGAAAAGCCATCGTTTGGACGCCCTTCAATCCATTCACATTTGAGCCCCGAATGGCACTAGCGATCTCTTTTCCCAGAGCCAAGTCTTGAGAATCTATGGTAACATTGCAGTTCATCACATATGGGCTAGCGCCGATGCCTAAATCATTAGAAAAGCATGTTAATCAAGCAAAGTGAAAGCCTCATTTTGAAGATTCTATTCTTTACCCAATTTTAATCCAAGGAGTTTCCTTTACTTGGTTTTACTTTTAAAACAATACACAAATATTCCTCATTATCAACTCCAGAATTGTCTAAAGGTCGTACATATTTTTAATAACAGAGTTAGTTGAGCTATAAGCAGATACTTTTATCTACTCTAAATGTATCTGGATGTTTTTTCTAGAATGGTTAAGAAAAGCCCAGACTTTCTAAAGTATCAACAGATATTTCAAAAGGCACATTTGAAAATTAAATATCAACAGCAGCAAAATGTCTTTGGCCTTCCATTCATTTCGAAGGCCATCTCCACAGGGGCTGGAATTCAGTGCCAGGACTACGGGTCTGGGAGACAGGAATAAATCACACTCTGTACCCATCCCTTCCACCCCAAACACAGACCTATCATCACTGAGCTAGGTTAAGATCGGATTCCAATGAACCTCAGCAACAGTCTTGGCTAGGAAAGGAGGTCACTAAAAAGTGACAAACAGTCTTGGAATTGGGAAGGACAAAGGGACTCTTGTGTCTCATGACCATGTGGGTTTGGCAGGGCAGGGTTTGGGGCACTATGTATACCTTCTTGGTATAACCAGTTGGAGGCATCTCTTTCTTCCATCCCCAGCTTCCCAAGGGACTGGGACTGCCATTGCTACTCCAGAGCCTGGTTACTCTAGAGCCCAGGGGCAACTGTCCTGCTTTTCCCTGCCTTGGGGAAGATGCAGCTCATGTTACATAAATAGCCCTGCTCTAATTATAGTTTACATTATAAGATGGACAACTTGGTTAAATTAGCATTGGTATAAAAAGCTTAGGTTTGCAGTTTCTTCATTTTGGGGGAACTTTACATTTCTAAACGCAAAGTGACTAGGGATTGATGAGGGATAAAAGGCTGACCTCACCTTCAGCATAAGACAATTCTTTAGTTACTATTCCAACCTTATTTTACTGTCAATGCTTTTTCTTGCTACTTTCAAACTTATTGCTCATGGTGTCAGTATCCAGTGAGAGATCCTGCTGAATTCACTTTCCCCTAGACAGTCGTGGTTTGGGGGCTTTGCTGCCTAGCCTGGGTACTCTCATACTAATAGACGCTTTACAGAATATCAGCACACGGAAACCACATTTCATCTTTTTCCCATACATGTACATAATGAAACATTTCAACTCCCGAGGCTGGGCCTCTTCCTACTGGGAATTCTGCAGGAATGAATCAGATTACAGTATTTCTCCATAATGCTTATTTCATAAAAATTAAATTTCCTAACAGTCAATACATATCTCTCTCAACCTCATACACCAATCACTTACTCTAAATATCTTTGAGAATTATATCAGTTTTAACATTTCACAGAGTACAGTTGGAAATTTTTCTTGTCAATGCTAATGTCATTCATTAATGGAAAGCATCCAAGCATGGTTTCTCTCTCCTCTACCCCTCAAAAGGTAAGTTACAAACAGTCCCATTTTTCTCGTATCTGATATACATACCCTATTCTGACTCAAGAAGTGGCCTCATCTTTATCATTATTCAAACAAATAGCTAGATCACACTCAGATTTTGCTGAAAAGTATGTATACATATATTGGGTTATACTAAGTATTGATACTATTCAAAATACTTATTGGGCCTATTGTGCTTTGCTATACCAGAACTTTGATATGCCCAGTCAACATTCAGATATTCATATGTAAGTTATCAGCTTGGGGGAGCTAGTCACTTCCAAGGCAAGTTCGTTCATATGGACCCAGGGCTCTTCCTCCCCACAGTATGGTGGCATGGACCATTCCATCCCTAAAGACATGGGACTTTTTCTGAATCCCCCATCCAGCAGATTCCAAGGCACCTGTTACCACCATGTGCCCAATAACTGTACCTTTTGTCACAGAATTTCTAAAATTGATCGTTCTTGCTAATAAATGAACTCATTACCTAAGATAAGTTATTAGATGTAGAATAAGCTTAGATGTTAAGTCCAGAGCACAAGAGTGCCATAAAGAATTCACTTGTCCCAACACTGATTTACTTAATTAAAATAAATCTCTACTTAAAAAATTCCTTCAAAAGCTAATTATTTCTTAGAAAAATAAAATTGAACATTAGAAGTAACTTTTATATTCTCTTCTAAATAAAATAAGAGTAATCACAACACAGAATAATCATTTCTTTTGTGTATGCTCTTGTTATGTGTATTTTAAATTCTTTTTTAAAATTTATTTATTTATATTTGGCTGCATTGGGTCTTTGTTGCTGTGCATGGGCTGTCTCTAGTTGTGTTGAGCAGGGGCTACTCTTCGTTGCGGTGCGCGGGCTTCAGTAGTTGTGGCACGCGGGCTCAATAGTTGTGGCTCGCGGGCTGTAGAGCACAGGCTCAGTAGTTGTGGCGCACGGTCTTAGTTGCTCCATGGCATGTGGGATCTTCCCGGACCAGGGATCAAACCCGTGTCCCCTGCATTGGCAGGTGGATTCTTAACCACTGCGCCTCCAGGGAAGTCCCTTAAATACTTCTATTAAACTTTACAGTCAATGAAGCTGAGAAGTTTCTGACCTAATCAGGTAGTAGTACCCTTCCTGAGGGGTTGTGAGGTCATGACCCATTTCTTAGAAGGAAAGAAAGGAAGAAAGAAAGGAAGAAAGGGAGAAAGAAAGGGAAAAAGAAAAGAAGAAGAGGGCTTCCCTGGTGGTGCAGTGGTTGAGAGTCCACCTGCCGATGCAGGGGACACAGGTTCGTGCCCCAGTCCCGGAAGATCCCACATGCCGCGGAGCGGCTAGGCCCGTGAGCCATAGCTGCTGAGCCTGCGCTTCCGGAGCCTGTGCTCTGCAACAGGAGAGGCCACAACAGTGAGAGGCCCAAGTACTGCAAAAAAAAAAAGAAAAGAAGAAGAGAAACTGCTTTCTGCCCAAATGCACGCATTTCTAATTCCTCCATTTAATCCTTCCCACGTCCAACACCAATATGGTGATCCAATTCTAATGAATCAAATTCTGCATTTAAATACAGCAGTCCCACTGACCTTACATGAAATGCTGAATTTGATTTTTTTATGCTAGTTTAAACTTAGTAAAGATTCTTTAAATAAGGGAGGTAATTAATCCCAGAAAATCGTATTTCTAGTTAAATGTCATATAATTAAAGTAATTCCATTTTTTGCTCTAAAATTAGAAACCTGATGTGAAAGTTTGTTTCTCAGTTTGCGGTCTCGCCCCGCTCCTGCCTCCCGCAGATTGGCACTCGGCTGCTCTGGCGGCAGCATGAATCTCCTCACTGCAAAGCTGAAATTCCAATTTTATTCCAACGCAACTGTCACAACGCCCTGAAGCAAGCTAAAAACAAGGAAAAAAATCTTTGGTATGATTTCACTTTCCATGTGTTCTTTAATGAAAAATTTATCATTCTAAATATTGGTGTTTACTCCTAGTTATATACTTTTTTTATCAAAAAGAAAAAGAAACTGAGATTCAGTTGCTATTATTTCACAGGGAAATATAACAGGCCTGATGTTTTCCTGACAATTCTGTTATTTTCTTGTGTGGAAACACTGTATTTATCATATACTGTACGGCTGGTGATTCAGATATTGTAGAGACCTTATGGTGAACTGATATAGATGTAAACTCTTTATGCCAGATTGTTTAAGCATAAAAAAAACAAATGCACTTAATTAACATCTGATGTGTAGCTTTTGCAAACACAAATGCAATATTTGTGTTTGAGCACTGGCAGTAATGACTGTGAACTATGCTATTAATGTCTGGTTTAAAGATGCTTGCGGTAGGACCATGTCTGGAATAACACAAATAAAAAACTGCATTCAGACAAAACAATAGTGAAGAGGCCATTAGAAAAATGAAAAAGCAGCACTCAAAAGAAACACATGTATTTTTTTCCCCCTTTAGATCAAAATTATTCTCAAAAATAGTTCCAGGTGCCATCATCTTCAATCAATTAATGGTGAAAAGATTCTATATATTTTCCTCCACAGAAAGGATTTCATTTTAGGGAGTCAGAAGTTGCTAAGGGATGTATTTAGAAGTTCTATTTATCATATTAAGTTCCTCTTTGGTGGCTTAGTTTTAAAAGATGCATGAGGAGAGAGCCGAGGTGGTGCTTTGGGATATTTGGCATTTTTATATCTGAAGAGAGAACTGCAAATTTGTGGATTACATTACAGTTTGAATAAATAAAGAGATTCTCATGAACTAATGTGCGACTCCCTCATTAAATATGTTTTTACTGAAAACCTGCTGAGTTCCAGGAACCATGCAGGTTACTGGGTGTAAAAACATGAAAGTTAAAATAACATAAAACCTAGCCTAAATGTGGTCCTTGCTTCAGACTAACAAACAGAGCAAGAAAACAGACTTGGAACTCAGGTTCAAAAATATAAACAGCTGTTATTACACCAAAAGCAATTAGTCATCATTACGTATTGGTATTTTAAATTTTTTAGAACATGTACTAAAGAGAAACCACAGCTGAAACAGGACATTTGATGACTAAAGCCATAAAACTCAAACATAATTGCTAAGTCCAATACTCCCATGGCGGGAAGAATGCAGGACTCTTATGCATGTGGCCAAATCCACAGAAAAGAAAGCTGAGTGACACTGTGTGGCCTAGGGCTGGCAGTGGCTCCCCATGAGCCTGAATTCAAGTTCTACCTCTTCAGGGACACTGCCTCTGCTCAGCTGTCTTTCAGCAAAATGGCTATGACGTTTTCCCACTCTGCAAGGAATTGTGAGCCTCAATTTCTCAACTCTGAATCTTTCAGAGTAACAGTACTTCAGAGAGGAAATCACAGAGGTAGATACATGTTAATATCATAATGGAATGAAGCCAGTCCAGTTGAAAGGAACCTCAGGTGACCTGCCTGCTCCCAGGTTTTCTATAGAACAGTGCCTTTCACCAGCTCATGCAGAGACAAAAGCAAAGTCCTTCA